TATTAGTAGTGTAGTGTAGGAGTACTTTAGCAAAGTTGGGTGGATATATATATAGGACCACATCGGCCGGGCAGCTAGCACACATGAGATGAGAGAGCAAAGGGCAACACGAAGTGAATGATTAGTTTAGTGGCAACAGCCCATATAAAGCTCCTAATGATGCGTGAAAGGAGACCAAAGACGTGTTAGTGATCTTTAATGACAGACAGCTGCGTGCTCATATATAAATGGGCACAGATTCCTGTAGTGTGTGGCTAGGCTAATGGTGGTCCATGCACAAGTTGCGCAACAGTACAAGCTGCAAGGGTGCCGGGGAGGGGTCGGAGACGATGATCCTGCTGTCACGCCTCCCTCCCCTTTCTTTTAACTTAATCCCCTCGGATTAGATTAAGATAGGCACCAAGCTCCGTTGGCACGACCCGCGTACGTCAAAAGAAGCACAAATCCAACTACATCCAGAGCTGCTGCTACTATACACGTCGTCTTCTTCTTTTGTATACGAGACCTAAAAAAAACTCGGCTTATGGGGTCATAACCGTCCCCCACGGTATTGTGATTAAGAAGAAAGTCTTCTCACACGGATCGAGAAAATCCCCGAATCTCCGCCCCATCCATACACAGGGAGCTGTCACCCGTGAGAAGGGACGTCTCTTAACATGTGCTTTGGCCTGGGGCGAGCGAGGGGATTTTTTTTACTCTCAGCCTGAAATTCGCTCCCATGGAAGTTCGAACTCAGGACCCGAGGAGTGCCTCCGGAATTGCTAACCAACTGGACTAGCATCCTTTGGCTCGTATACAAGACCTGTTTAGATAAGCTAGGATTAGTTACAGTTAGAGCTAAAAACTAGCCTATAAATTGGTTGAGGTTGGCCAACTAGTTGAAGGCTTGGGTAAAAATTTAGCCCACCTATCAACTAGGTAACAATTAGCTCATTGTATCCAAACAGGCCCTAGAGTAGCAAGCTAAGTAGTTTTAAATTTGGTGATCTGGTGTAAATAGTTTAGTTAGTTACTGGTTCATGCATGTTATATTTGTGTTATGTCCTTTTTCCTTCTAATTTACTCGTAGTAAAATATTGTCTTATTGGAAATCTGGCTATCACGATTCATTTTTTGTACTTGATGAGATGCAGTAGCTGGACCATGTCATTATCCAAAACGTCACACACTTTTCGAGAGTGCGAGGGAATGGTCAGTGCAAGGCCACAGTACCACATGGACATGATGGCTATTTCTTTTCACGGTGCTGGACTGTTGGCGTTGTTTCAGTGGAGCTGCTGTCTAGTTGTGCACTACAGCATGGCGTCAGTGGGAGCCTCAAGGTACACCGTACACACGAGTGCTCCTTTCACGGCATCGCTTTATAAGGCCTTTTGGATTAGGATAAGCACAAGTAGTAAAAATCACCTTCCCTCCCCGGGCATGCCATGTTAGAAAAGAGTTGCTGCATAAGATAAGCTTTGCATCATCAAAGCTAATTTAACCCTTTCCCAGCAGTCACTGTCATCAGTCATGTCCAGGGAGACGGGTGCCTAACACAGATACGCAGTAGATGTGCTATTTAAGGTTTGGTCAGGGTAGGGTTGGAGCCTAACACACAGTAAAACCGGCATCTCCTACAGCCTGGAGTCGTCTGGTTAGGCGCAGGTTACAGTACTACAGTAACATGAATGTCTTGTCCAATCACAGTGACGGGGAAGGCAACTCCTCATAGGCTAAACAAGTATAAACAACACGGCATCGCCACCAAAATGCTGGTTGCGTCAGAGGAATGCATCAGACAAAACCAGGTTCAGGATCAGGTTCGATTCACTCACCACGACCACGACAGACAAAGTCAAATTTGGCATTTTTGCATCCCTCCTCCCAGTCCACTTGCACCTTCTAAACCTCAGCAGCCCTTCTCCTTCGACAGGCCGCATCTCTGGCAGAAAAACCCGATGCCACACACCCGAATTCCCAGCAAGAGCACAAATGATTACATGAACGAAAAAACAAAAAGAATTTGGTACAAATGCGGCAACAACGACAGGCCGCATATCTTTTGCATTCACAAAGTTAGACAACATTTACCAGCCCCAGGCGGCTTCAGCAAGGTACACCCATGTATATCTGAAAAACACCATGTGAGGGATTAGATCGCTGCAGCACACATCACCTCACAATCCCCAAATCCACCAATGCTCCGTTTCTTTTGAGAACCAACACTCTGGTCATCAAGTGCGAAAAATGGGACCATACGATCAGGCAATATACATCATCACAGGCAGCGTCGCAGCGACACACAGAGGCTGCAACCTTAAAGCCAGAACAGCCATGCAGCTACCTGGTAAGGTAGTATATGAGCAAGAAGACAGCAATGAAGGATGCCACCATGGTTGCCATCCTGCGGCTCGATTTCGTCTCGAAAACCTGTAAAGTAAAGTTATAGTGAAAAAAACAGGGTACCGGAGGGAGCAGCTGATCTACAGATATGGAAATCCTCACCATCTTGAACTTGTCCACCGTCCCAGAAAGAAATCCTCTCGAAGCATCCATATCATTACCCTGAACCGGAAATTAATGTATCAGGGTTTCATTGACAACAACATAGTGTGTTGCAGGAAGGAAACCAGTACCATTCTGTCCAGCATCCGGTTATGATTCTCCACTTCTTCATGTATATCGCCAGTCAACTGAACATACAACAGATTCAGTAAAAGATTAGTACAATCACAATATACCCAACATTCCATGATGCAGCAAAGTTCAAAGTGGTATCAATAAAATGTGTGAAACAGAGTAGAACACACAAAATTGAAACATGATGGCCTTTATCACTGTATGCTTAAATCCCAGATGAAACATTGTATTTTACTGATGCAATTTCATGTGCCCTGTAAACACTATAACACCCAGATGGGAAGATCTGATCGTATGCATGAAACCCCAGATGGAAAGTAATCTCAAGTCGATCCTGGCAGAAACACTGCAAATGGGTATATGTAACCATGTCATACCAGCTGGTTGGTCTAGAAACCTGTACCAGTACTAGTATAGCTATATGAATTATATGAAAATTCCAATTGCCAAACTATTGCTTTATAGTCATCTTAAAGATCTTTGTACAAAAATTAGTAATTTGTCAGCAATTGCTAATTCTGTTCAACATCAGTCTATCAAATTGACAAATAATCTCATCTTTACTTTTGAGGATGTAGCATAAATTTATTTATTATCAACACTAAAGGAAGCTGTTTCAAATATTTCCAATCATTACCATACTCAACACTGTGGCACTTTGCTTTCCTGTTTTTTAGGTTCTGCCAGGTCCACTGAACCCAACAAAATATTGAAATGGTCTGCAAAGATAGGAAAGTACAGCATACATACTCTTTTGAGAACGCTGACCCTATCATGCAAACTGTCCAGAGCTTGATCATTCTCATGCTCATGAATTTCACGAGAAGAATCTGGAGCTCTCACCCCACCTTCTTCAATGCCATCAAATAAAGCAGCTCTATGGCTGCGGAAATCCCTGCAAAGAACAAAAATGGATAAATGGAATCATTACGGTTTTGCTAACAACCAAAGTAGTGGAATTATCTACTGGTTGTCAGTACTTCTAATGACTGCATAAGGAATATAGGACAAAGTAGTCATTTTTCATGGTATCTGTCTATTCTTTTCTCACTTTTTGTATAAAATACGGCACTTTATAGATACCTAGTCTCATATCTTATGGATCTTGTCAAATTTCATGTAGATGGCATGTAACCACACCTTTTCCTTAGATCGTTAATGGATAAAAGGTAATTTTGTACAAAGCCACTATCACAAAGACTATAAATGAAATTAAGAGGAAAGAATGGTAAATTGGAAAATAAGGATGAGCTACAATCTGACGAGGAAACAGGAAGGCTGTATGCAAGCACTTGCTAGTTGCTGCTCTGTTGATTTTCTTGAATTACGATTAGACTGCAATTCACCAATTAAACGGAAGGAACAAGCAATTTCAGTAGGTAAGTTAAACTACCAGTAGACCAAGACCAGGGACAGTGACAGTCTGAATGAGTATGCCTGTGCAATTAGTAAGTATCGCCGCTGCCTTGCGAAATGACTAGTGTTGGGAAAATCATGAGGAACTAATGAAAACAACGTTTACAAACATTGCCACAACTGAATGTAACCATCCATTTGCAAGTAAAATGAGACACCAGGAAGGCAGGAACAGACAAGCTTAACTTAGTAAGGGGATGAAATGGAAGATTATCATATCCTACATTATTGCCATGTTCTGCTAGGTGCTAGGAGCAGAGAACAAAAACCCAGCATTTAGCTTTGAATAAGTTCAATCAAATTGAGATACGACTAAACTGGTTGTCTGGCTGCCTGGGGAAAGGATCATGCATGATGGATAAAGGAGCCATAGATGTGGCAATCTACTGATTCGAAAGAACTCGCTGCTAAAGTTGCCAAACACTAGTACTGTGGAATCAGCTGACGCGTCACAAGAACAATGGGATTTCCTTCCCCAGGAACCAGGGACAAGTGCGGCGCAGCAGATAGTACTCAGCAGGTAAGGTATGGGTAACAGGATCCACCAGATGGTGCAACGAACGGGATCAAGTATACAGATTTGCATGAGCAGAGTTGTTCGGCACCAATACCACATCGTCTAAAAACGTCACATTCCTAAACACGCAAGCTCACTGCTCACGTTATGACATCAAGCAAGCGCATGAACCTGTAGAAAAACGCGGAATGGTTCGAGCTACCCACTAATAGTCGAGAACTCGAGATAGATAGATCATAGCCTGGGGATTGCTAGCTAGGGTGGGGCTATTAAAGATCCTGACCTCCTCGAGTTCATCGGACGCGACCTCCACTCGCGGAAGAGTTCTCACGGGTGCGCGGAGAAGCCGATGGAGCCTGCCTGCCGGTGCGAGTGGGCGGCGAGATCTGATGAAAGCTTGTTTTTTTTTTTTTTGAGGGGAATCTGATGAAAGCTTGGTGCGCCTCCTCCGTCCTTCCGGAGCAAGACGACGCAATGGGGGCCGGAGTGAGTGGGCCCAAATCGTAACCGATATTGGCCGGCCGGGCGGGCGGGCCTTATTTGTTTTCGGGTTGGGTGGCATGCACACTACTGCTACGAGAGCTGGGCCCATCGCCTGTCGGTTACATTGCGGCCCATTTCAATCAATTGGAGAAGAGGAAGTTCCATTTGTTCTGCGCGGCGAATCGCCCCGCCTCCGCCTTCCGGCGATTGACGCCGCCGGCGAGGGGGGAGCCCTCCCGCGTCCAACGGTCCAAGCAAAGCAGTCTCCAGCCCCGACGCCGAAACGAGACTTCCTCTCCACCAGGTAACGCGCAACCTCACTCCCACGGCGACATTGCGATCCAACGATGCTGCATTGCATTTGCTGCGTTGGCGCTAGTTTTACACCGGCCACGCCCAACACCTGCTCGACGATATGCTCGATCAGATCCGTAGAATAGTATGCCACACCGAGTCACCGACATCCTATGAACGTCGGTGTCTGACAACTAGGTATGTCTGTCATTAGTTCATTACGTGTTATTCTGCTGGACCATGCTTAGCGTGGAGAAGCTGCTTAAGCGCTGTTCAACATAGCACCTGCTGTTAAATGAGATTCCCAGACGTTTTGTGCACTGGTTACTATATACCTGGGCCCCTTTCTCTCCCCTCCTCCCTCTCTCTCTCTCTCTCTCTCTCTCTCTCTCTCTCTCTCTCTCACTCACTCACTCACTCATCCTCTAAAGAGAACCAAAAGACCTGCCTTCTATTGTTTCTTTAGTTTGCTTCTCAAAATCTGTAACTTACTTGGGTGACTTTTGCATTACATGAACAATAAAAAAAAGCCTATCCTGCGTGATATACATGGCTTGCTTTGATAAAAGGTCTAGATGCATTAAGGGTTGTTGCTGCAGGCAACACTAAATGGGAAATGACAGTGACATGTAATGTAAGCATGAATTTCAACTGATCCTATTACCACTAGCTTACAGGGTTTTATAGCTTTCACATGAAGAGGCTTTGTTCAGAAAAAAAAAAAACTTGAGTCCGCCTTCAGTTCCCCTTTCTTCAGGTTCACATAATAATGTTCTTGATTTTTCAGTCCATGTAACCATACTTTATTACGACCATTGTTATCTTTTTGGGAAAAAAAGAGAGATTAGCAATGGCTAAAGATACTTGCTTGCATAGTCCAATAGGTGTTCAGTACAAGCACTAAAATTACAATACACTCAAGAACCATCTGGTTTCCACATAGCAAACTGAAATGCAGTACCTTTACTGTCTATTTATCTTCAATGTTCTATTTAGCTGCACCAAATGATGTGTTTCTAACTGAAAAACTATTTCAATTTAATTCTTCTGAAGGACTTCAGCACGCAGAAACTAGGATTGCTAAACTACAAAAGTGCAGCTTGATGTTTTAGTTATGAGTTCATCAACACACAGCTTCTTCAGTAACACAATGCCCATGCTAGAAAACTTGATTGACATCTGTAAGATATTGTTACCAAAACTGTTCAAACTTGTACAATAACTATCAAATGCCTCGTTTTGTCATGCTTCATGCAGATAGGCAAAGGCTACTGACTGAAGGTCATCCATACCATGATACCCACTCCCTTGCGTGGTGCAAGAAGGATTGCTGTTGTTGTAGTAGTCAGGCATGTATAAATCTGGCTCATAACCTTCAGAATGTTGAGTTGATGTTGATGTGAAGCAGTCATTTGCAAAGTATAACTGCCTTTCACTCTTTACTGAAGAATTGTTTGCCATTGTTGGGTGGAAAAAGAGCTGCCCATCTTGAATATAAGGTGCTAATCTTTCACAGTTTTCTTTCTGAGAGTTTGATGTCAAGGACCCATCTCCATATCCTTGAGTTGCTAGAGCTTTGAAAGACTCTAGTTCTGCTTGCAGACTGACCACCTATGAAATGTCACAAGTAATACACTTTGTAAGTGTTGATTTCCTTGCAGTGTGAATTATTATGATACAGTGAGCTTTTTAAATAACCAAGAATACTATAAATTTATGCATTACAAAAAAGGTAACGAAGCAGCAGTCTCATAAGATAGGAAGATATGTCTATTATATCATGACACTTAATGGTTAGCTGCATTTATGAAATTATATGATACTCCAAAACTTTTTCATGTTATAGGTAAGTTTGTTGTGAATGTTATTTCATATGAGGCTTATAGTTTTCAACATTTGTCAAACTATATCACATTTCTGTGAGGCTGCAGCTCGACTGCTCGAGTGACATTTCCCCTTTCTATATTGAATGTGAACTAAACACCTCATTTATGCATAACTTTATTTTTGGAAATGAGTGCTAATGTAGAATCTTCTTACCTGTTGTTGCAGAGAAAAGATGTGAGCAACACAGCCATATATTGGATCCTGAAGCCTGGCCTGTGCCTCATATGACATAGTGACTGCAGCTTCGCAGCGGTCACTTATCGGGAGATGCATTAGGAGCTTTGAGGCATTGCTAGCCCCAAAGACCTTATGGATAGCAGCAAAGTGTGCAGCCCCTTGCTCATGACAGAAATATGGAGTGAAGACACACCCCTTCACACACTTCCTGCGTAGGAACTTGCACGCACCACATGGTGAGCCAAGGCCTGTCATCTTGGGTCTTCTTGTTGATGCTGTTGTTAGTCTATTCTTACTCCTTGATTTGAATGCTATGAATCATGGGGTCATCATTCTCTGCTATTTATAGAGACTAGCTAATGCTGTGAGTAACTTAGTATATTGAATAATTAATTTATCTTGGTCTCCCTAGTGGACTACAATTCAATTATTTTAATCACGGTTGTTCCACTCCTTTCATGTTCATTTAACTCTGTATTCTGCTTCAGATTCCTTCCAAAGTGGTTAAATGACAACGATGTAACACTACAAATTATTTATAATTTTGTTGTTGATTGTTTATTAGTTGATAAACTTTACATTCTTTTCCCGGACTACGCAGGAGTGCTTGTTGCCATTTCATCAAGAGGAGGAAAAGATACAAGGAGAGAGGCTGAGCCATCTCCCGAAACACCCATTTTCTGATAAACTTTACTCATATGCAAGTTATGTGTTAATCTTACCTCCTTTTGCTAGTTCAGTATGGACAGAAATATCAAAATGTGCTGAACAAAATTTATGTTTTCTATGTTGTAGTCATCTCTAAGTACATGTTTAGAAGCTTTGCATTTTGTTTCTGAGATGTATCACATGATTAGATTAGAATTAGATAATCACTTCCCATCAAGTTTGTGTACCACCTATATGGCTAAACAGGTGGACCTCTGATGATATTTATTCTACCCTACTGGCTTGCCTATAGACCACCACAAATATTAGCTTTATTCAATGTCGCTGTTTTTTTTTTTGGTGCTATTGTAGTTGTAGTACTAACAGCAGTTAGTTTATTTAGTTAGAATCTTATGGAGGCCACACTGCTCATTATGTAAATTGTGGTGCCTCTGCTTGGCAATTTGCAGAAATAATGATAAAGCTTGCCCACACCAAGTGTGCCACTTTCCAGACTAATGAAAGTATATAAAGGAAATGAAATTATCAGTTGTCACTACCTGCTACACCAGTGGCATGTATTTAGCCTTTACTATCATTCTCCTCTTCCCAACTAAATTGTGCTGTAGACCAAATGGAGCATAATTAATGATGCTTTTTTCCTAATCTAAACTTTTCCCTTAGCTGGTTCCTATTGATTAAATTCTGATGAGAAAGCTGGTCCGTTTGTTGTTTTTTACTTTACTGGTTATTTTAGTCACCTATGTATTTTCATTTATGTTGACTAGGCTATAGCATCACCTATAAATATAAACAAAAATTTCTTTTCTTTTCCTATAAGGGGGTATAATAAATATTCTCAGTTTTGGATTTTTTTTTTATCAATAACGGAAATGGCCTTACTATTTCACTGCTTTCTGCATCATTCAAAAGCTAATGTACAGCTCATAAATCAGCATCCTTTGTTGATGGTTGATCAGACACCTACTTGTTTGTGGATTGGCCTGCAGAGTCCATAAGCATAAGCATAATTTTCTTTTGGTTTGATTAAAGTAAAGCTTTCTGCTTCCTATTTGTCTATAAGTTTTATATTCATTATCCTGTACGTCAGTACTGCAGGATTCAAAAATTAAGAACAGCATGTAAATTGAACCAAATAAATAATTACAACATATCATGAAAACAGTAATTTGTTACTCCAGTAGATTGTCATAGCAAGCTAAAATATGAAGGCTCACCAATCTGATCTGTTGTCTTTGGATCTTGATATGGTAACACGTCGCCACAGCCCTAGTTGCCAGAAACAATCTCATGTCTTCATGAATTCTGCAAAATTTGCATTCTCTAACTCATGTTAGATACCAAATCTTTAGTGAATAGAGACCCACGTGCAATTGTAAGTTAGTAATGGAAGCATTGTTATCTAATTTTCGGAGTATGGTGAAGGGCCTACTCTGTTTTTTGAGGGATAAGGGCCCACTCTGTTGTGGACATGGAACCATTTGAAGTGGTTGGTGTTGAGGATTAAAAGATGGAACCATCCTAAAGCGATATTGTTCAGCTTTATGTGTGCATGCCATTAGTACTTTTGCAAGTATTATTAGTATCATGATATGCGTCATTTTTGTTACACAGAAAAGGAATTCAACCCCATAGCTTTAGTGCAGTGTTCATTTACCTGGTTTCGTTGGCTGTTAGCTGGCAATGGAGGTGATTAGGCTGATATGACACATTTGATCTGAGAGGAACAGGTTTGTGTTTCGGAAGAAGACCCCTGGTCTGGTGGGTAGTTAAAATGTGAACATCAATGAGTTGCAGCTGATTGCACGGGGCTCTGATTGGGTGGTCAAATTTGTCAGTATTAGGTTGCACTAGCTAGCACTAGGGTAAGCAGTGGATACATACATATAAATAATTAAATTAAGCTAGAGTTACCTGCACGCATACACCAAACTAATAGCATAGGACCAGTCAAGATTCAAGATGTTGGACAGTAAATAGATTAGAACCCCAATTGATCTGCACATGTATGCATGATTGGCCGGCAGACATATATACCTGTATCAGAGGAGTGTGGGGGAGGCGATCGCATAGACGCATACTCAAGTGGAGACTCATAAGCATCTATTTAACTGCTGAATATTGCTTGCTTTTACGACTAGTTACTATTTAGTAGTTTAATTAAGCTTGATTGGCAGACAAGCGATTGTGATCATCTCCTTGCTTGTAGGCATGCAGGGCTCCACTGTATGTACCTGTGAGGCACGTCTTGCAGAAAACAAGTGTATGTTGGTCTTTGCTGAAATCCAGGAATCAGTTGTTCAAATACTCCCTTCTCTGCCGTTGGATTACGTCGTCACAGCGACGACTGAGCTTGGTGCAGGGGACATGTGAGGCCCCCGCCACTGGCATTGCCGGAGGTACGCACGACGCAGGGAGGTGAGGTCGTTTTCCTTCCTTGTCTTTCTCTCTCTCTCTTGGCCGGCCGGTGAGTTGCTAACCCTTACACGTACGGTTGTTATTAGTTTGTTGCCATTAGTAAATAGAGTACTTAAATAGGTGAGCCGGTTCCAATTTCAGCTTGTAGGACAGAGACAGCATGCTTGGCTTATTCGGAGGCTATGCTGTAACCCATCACTGATAAGACTTGCTAACTCAATTTTAGTCCATGTTGATGATGATGTGGGAGAGCATTGATGAAGTAAGGGCCTGATGGAGAAAGCTGCGACTGCGGAGAGCATTGAACTACTATAGTGCATCTCTCAAACAACTATGGAAGAGTTTTTATTCCACCAATTTCGCGAAAACCCAAAAAAAGCGAGGTCAAACCAAATTTTCAAAACGAATCATTTAAAAAGTATATGCCAAAGAAGCAAAAGCTCTCCATCACAGCACATGCTGCAACTGCAACTGCAAGCAAGCAAGCAGGTGGTAGGAAAGAAAGCTACTTGCTGCATCGTCTGTATTAACCCGTGCCGTGCCGGAAGAGCAGGTAGCTATCTCTGACCAACCGACTGACTGCCGGATGTTGGTGCAGGTACAGGACTCAAGAGAGAGAGACGAGGTGGCTTGGTCATGATCTGGCATCTTGTGGTGTGGATTACTGACTGATGCAAGCTAGCGCGTGGCTCAAGAAACCAAAAAAAATGCTTCAGGGCATGACAAGCTAGTCCGTTTCGCTGTATCAACAGCAGCAGGTCTGACCTCCGTCCCGTAGCCCGGCGGTGTGTCCCGTCTGGTCGCCATTGTATTAGTATATATCAAAGCCCGCCTCTCTCTCTCTCTGGGTGTCCACGTCGTCCTAAATTCTCCTGACCGTCCGATTGTCCGTTGTGTGGCCCAGATTTTTGTAGCCGCTTCTATTTGAATCAGCTCCGGCCGGCTCCTCGTCGCTCTAGGTTGGTTTTGCTAGCTTGCGCGCTTCTCGTGCGAATCCGATTGAAGCAAATATATACTCAAGCTCCTGATTCTCCTCCAGGAAACTTCTCACCCCCTCCTCTCTCTCTCTCTCTCGCTCCCTCCCTCGCTCTCCTAGACGCGACGTGACCGAGGCGACGCCGCGGGGCGACCTCGGCGGTGGCCGGCCCTCCTCGCGGCGGCGGCCACCCTCCTCCTCCTCCTCCTCTTGGCCCTCCACCACGCCGCTTCCTCCTCGCGACGCAAGCCAGTGGGTCGCACGTCCTAGGGTTTGGCCCCTCCGTCACCGGTCGTCCCAGTTGTACCCACGGCTGCGCGATCAGCCAGCGGAGGCCCTGACGCGGCCGAGGGCTCTGGCGGCGGAGTGACCTCCGTGGTGGGCGTGGATGACGACGGGGAGGTCACGTCGGCAACCTCGGCGGTGGATCTTAAGCGGCCGCTCACGGGGCCCTTCCCGGCGGCGGATCTGAGGCTGGAGCACGGCGTGGAGCTCGTGCCGGCAACGGAGGCGGTGAATCTGCGGCGAGCAGGCGGATCCAGCGCGAGGCCTCCCCATCTCCACTAGATCCAGCTGCATGGCCTCCACCGATGCCCGGTGCGCCGGCTGGACGGTGGCACACGTCCGCGAGCTGGCCCCCGCTGCCCCTCGCAGGTGGACGCCGTCGTGGCTGCCACCCCGACGCGGCTTCGTCCCGCAGGTTCGCCTCTCCTCGCGCGTCGCTCTGGCGGGCGATGGCGCCCCGGCTTTCTTCTGCGCGCGCGCGCGCGTGGCCGGCCGCGGCGCCCGACGACGGTGGGCGCCCTCGGCCACGGCGGCGGACCCATGCCCGCGCCGCCGCGCCGGCACTTCCCACAGCCCATGCCGCCGCGCCGCCCACCAAACCCTAGCCTCGCGCCGCTTTCCCCCCCCGCCTCTTCCCGCCTCTCGCGTGTGCTCGACCAACCCTAGTTTGCTCAGGTTCTCACAGACGCTGCGTGGCGCGGGCGGGCCGGGAGAGGTGGCATGAAAGATCTGCTGCCCGGCCGCTGTACATGTAAAGGTGCGCTCTCTCTCTTGCTTCCCTCCCCTTCCCTTGCCGGCTCCGGTGACGGATGGCCGGATCCGTCGGCTGCATGGTTGGATTTCTCCGCTCCCCATTCAACCTATGCAGTGAATCGGGTGCCAAAAATCCCTTTATCTCCTTTCCTACCTTGCCGGCACGCGCAACGGCGCGCGTGATGAACTATGTATTTATTCCGGTTCCTGCGATCTTGAACTAATGGGTTTCTCAAACTTTTGTTCTGATCTGGGACAGCAGTGGACACACGTGGAGCTTGAGGAGCAAAAGGACGGTGCTGTGTATGGTGGTCTACTGGTCTTGGCGGTGCTCAACTTCAACAGACAACACGCACTGGGCCACTGGTGAACAGCTATAACTCTGCTATGCAGTCCCAGATGCATGCATGGTAATGCACACTCTTGTTACCTACCGGCTTTCGTACCGCTTTTGCTAGCCATGCCCGGATGATGGATCTCGTCTGAATGCATACTTTGTGTGTTTTGTAGGCAACTAGTGGAGCGGAGTGGAGTATGAACTCCGACAACCTGATGAACAACTATCGGTGATGTCACATAGGTGGAGAGGTAATTCACAATCCCAGTTTTTGCGCTGAATCCCTATCTGATGCATGGTCCATCTCGTTGCGTTGTTGACTGAATAAATAGTCCATTTGCGTCTGTATAATAAACCTAGCTATTTGTTATCTGAAGATGCACAACTCATGTAGAGGCCGGAATAAAGACCATTCCTTTTTTTTCTAAAAACCACGTATACGTATACGGGTCTCTATAGCCGCGTGAAGAATGAATACTAACCACGAACAAAGCTAATTCATATATGTATAATGGGCTCAACTTGCTCGGGCCCAACACAGCATTGAATAGATTAGGGTGGGCTCAGCTTGGACTTGGGCTCATGTAGTCATGTAATTAGCAAATCAGGCCATAGCCCATCTGAACCCTCACTTGTCTGTCTGCATCCATCGACCCAGGCAGCCCAACAAGTGAAGGATTACGATGTAATAATACGTCTAGTCAAATTTTCTCTAAAAAAGTACAGTAGTTACATCTGTCAGGGATCCCAGTGCACTCAACTGAATTGTCGCCCAGTGCAGTAGCTGTTTAGTCTTCATGCTCAGTTGCTCATCGTGTCATGTTACGATGCGCGCAACACGTAGTTGCTTCAATTGTTCATGTTTTTTTTTTTGAGTCAAATGTTCATGTTTTTGTTCTGGAACACAACACAAGAGGAGTGGTAGCATCTGCTTCTCTGCGTAGTGCTTCATTTGCGGTTGGCAACGGGCCGATAATATACTGTTTTTTGGCATGTGTTTCCGCGTTAAGAATCGAACTTGCTCAACGCCATAGCTGTTAATTAAGTTACAGCATACACACTTGTTCAGTCCAGATTTTACTGATCGCTCAAGAGGGGAAGAAAACAGTAAGCAGTATGTATAGTATAGCGTCATCAAGAAGAAGAAAAAAGAAGAGTTGAAGACGTCGAATGTTTGGGGACAATGCCGCCAAATCAAAGCGGCAGGACGGCACTTCGGGATCCCCTGCTCTGGCTGAACGAGAAGAAGGACCGGCGCAGCCTCCTCGACGATGGTGGGCCAGTGTCGGCGGCGGCATTGCTGCTCTCCGCTTTGCCTTCCTCGTCTTCTTTGACAGCCGGGGAGCCACCGGAACTCTGCCGCAGGATGCTCTGCAGCGCGAGGTAGAAGCGCTTGTCGGTGCTGGAGTCCATGGACAGCGACCGGCGCATGGGCAAGAAGCAGCCGTCTCCTCCTCCTGCTCCTCCTCCCATGCTGCAGCTGCGGCAGCTACTGTTCCGGTGCGCGGTCTCATCAGCAGGCACAGCCGCTGGTTCGTCGGCGACGGCTGATGGGGAGATGGTAGTACTGATAACATCTATGGCAATGTCGTCGGTGGTGGCGCGCGGGACCGGGACTGGGACCGGGATGTCGAGGTGGTGGCAGTAGCTCAGGGCGGCGGGGTCGGAGACGGCGGCTCTGCAGAGCGGGCAGCTGGCGGCGGACTGGAGCCAGGCGTCGATGCAGTCGATGTGGAAGGCGTGGAGGCAGGGCGGCAGCACGCGGAGCCTCTCGCCGTCGCGGAAGTCGGCGAGGCACACGGCGCACTCGGCGCCGGCTTGCTTGGCCTCCGCCACCGCCAGCACGAGGTGGCCGTGGCGGTACCGGAACGTGGGGATCCGGCGGATGGCCGCCTCCTCCAGGCCGCTCCGGCGCGGCGGCCCGGGCTCGTGCACGGTGACGACGACGCGGCGGTGGCGGTGGTAGGGGCCGGCTAAGACGTCGTCGTCGTCGTGCGTGCCGCCCGGGCGCCAGAAGAAGAGGAGGCCGCAGCGGGTGAGGAAGAGGTAGTAGGCTAGGAGCAGGAGCGAGGTGGCGAGGATGCCGACGATGGAGACGGAGAGGATGACGAAGCTCGTGCCCGGGAAGGGCGAGGACGTAGACGACGACGTCGTGGGCGCATCCATGGGACTGAAGTGGACCTTGGCGTAGCGTAGGCAGCACAGGAGCAGCAGTGGCAATGGCAATGCAGCTGCGACTGTGAGTGAGGAAGCAGAAGCAGAGCAGCGGTGGAGAGTGCAAGCAGAGGCTGATGGGACTGGGAGAGATGGCAGGCAGGCAGGCACATTCAGACGGTGGTACTAGTAGTGGAGACTGGAATTGCTGGCGAACGCGGCGGGATATCGATGGCATGGCAGGCAGGCGTGCGTGTGGCAGCTGCAAGCATGAGCTCGCGCATGTTTGGATGGAGCCCTGGAGTCAATCTGCCTGGTGGATGGGTGCCTGTATCTTGCCTGAGATCCGTTTGGATGTAGCCCTGGTCATCAGCCTGGTCCAGGCATCGGTGTGCAGGCCCAGGCGTAAAAAACGAGCGCCTGGCGCTGCAACACTTGCCTGGCTGATTTTGTATAGCATTAAAGTCAGTTCAAGTTGATTAACTATTGTCTTTTTTTTTTACTGCCAACAAATGACGTACAGCCGTATAGGTTGCTCCTAAACAATTCTAATCATGTTACTGTTCACCTAAGCATGGAAGAGATCTTTTATTGTTCATCAATATTAAAGTTTATTTTGCAATCTAGATTATGATTATTTTATTTTGCAATATTAAAGCTTATTTAAAATTATCTATCTTCATATTATTTAATCATAAGTGTTAAAGTTATGTTATATTATATTAGAAATTATATTTTATCATCATATTAGTTTCTCAAGTCCAGGAACCAACTAAACACATCTTTCTTACATTTGCCTGGCTAGGTAAAAAGCATCAACTTTTCAAGCAATTTCCAGACATCTGTTTTTGCCAGGCAAGGTGCCCAGGCCTCCAACCAAACATGCCCCAGGTATTGTCGGTCAGGCAGCTGCAAGAGTAGTAGTAATGTGGCCTCGTTTAGTTCAAAAAAATTTCCTAAAAAGTGCTACAGTAGCCATCACATCGAATATTGCGATACGTGCATGGAACATTAAATGTAGACGAAAAAAAAAACTAATTACACAGTTTGGTTGAAAATTGCGAGACGAACGTTTTGAAGCATAATTAGTCCATGATTAAACACTAATTACTAAATAAAAACGAAAGTACTATAATAACCCAATTTTCAAAATTTGACCAACTAAACGAGACCTATATTGACGACCTTGACCACCATTGCAGGCTTGCAGCATGCAGAGACAGGACTTGGAACTTGGGCTGGGCTCCAGAGTCAACAAGAGAGGCTTTTGTTTCTGTGATGGGATTGCAGTTGCAGTTGCAGGGGATGGAAATTGGAAATGAAACATGTTTAAAGCGTGTTTAGTTGCACTCCAACTTTCAAAAAGTTGACTACAGTACCTTGTCACATCGAATGTTTACGCCTCGTGCATGGAGCATTAAATGTAGACGAAAAGATAAACTAATTGCACAGTTTGGTGAGAAATTACGAGACGAACGTTTTGAGCCTAATTAGTCCATGTTTGAACACTATTTGCCAAATAAAAACGAACGTGCTACAGTAGCTCCAAAATCCAAATTCCTCCAACTAAACAAGGGCTTAGTTTATCCAGAATCTAAACTTTGGCACTATGTCAAAAGAAGATTCCCCGTCACATCAAATTTACGATATGCATTGAGTACTAAATATTGACAAAATCAAAAACTAATTGCACAGTTTGGTTGTACTTTGCGAGACGAACATTTTGAGCCTAATTAATTAACGATCGTCAACTTTTGTGGCAACTAAACGCGGTGGAAAGGGAGGAAGAAGGTACGGCGCAGCTGCAGGTCCCTGGCCTGCCGCGTTACTTGCAACTTGCAAAGCGCACACGCCCACCGTACCGCACCAGCCGTGCGCTCGGCCTTGCCGTCTCGTTTCAGACGGCCCCGCCGCCCTGCCCCGGCCGCCGGTGGAGACGCGTTTGTTTCCCATTCCCAGAGCCGAGAGCCCAGCAGCCGCGTTTCCCATCCACCAGCATCGCATTCGCACCAACCAAACCTGCTCTGCTTGCCGCGTCTCCGTCTCGCTTTTATCAGCCTGTTCGGGAGGCCGTATCGTATCGTGGATTATTTACTGCTGGCTGGTTTGGTGTGAAAAAAAAACATTATTTTCGGTTGAAATTTACGATCGTTTACGAGTAAACGAATAGGCTGTATTTTCGTCCCTGGTTTGCTCAACGATGGATGCACAGAGGTCAGAGGATGGGATGGCCATGGAAGCTCGCTCAATCCAGCGAGTGCCTCCAGATCTGGCACCCCAGAACCAGGATGACGAGGCCACGGCGGAGGTGGAGTGGATGGTGATGTGGCCTCCGGGGGAGTCTGTTCGTTTTGCTGTGGCTTGTCGTAAACGATCATAAATTTTAGCTGGAACTGTATTTTTCTCTCACACAAACCAGCCAGCAGTACTTCTTCATCAACCAGCGACGAAACGAACCAGCAACCGAACGGGCTTGCCAATCTGGCATTCTGGCGTGAAGAGCGGAAACGGTTGGACGGTTCGACACCGAGTTCAACGACTCAACAAGACGGCCGGGCAGTCCGCGATTGTTGGACAAAAAACAAAACACAAGACGCATTTCTGGATATTGAGTATCGGCGCATTCTGAGAGCGAGCGAGGTCATCCTCATCCCGGCGGCAGCGGCTCGAGATCATTGTGGCGGTCCTCGGTGGGATCAATCACAAGCACGGCTCGAGCTTGTCCCGGCGACGACGGCGGACGGCGGCGGCTTTGGGAGCGCAAAGGTAGATCTGAGGGCGGATCGAAGCCAGCGGATCTAAAATCACCGAGGTCATCGCCGGCGTGGCTACACCATGCTAAAGATGCATGGCGACAGATACATCAAGGTTGATTGATCATCACTTGTATTATCTGTTAATCTGGTGATAATTCACTCATGGAGTCATGGGATCCTATTCCTATTCATCGTCAGCAGCATCGAAGCGGTGACCGATCGAGTGGAAGGAACAGACTACAGAAGCGCTCCTCGGCCAGTTTATCATCCTCTCGTCTCGTACAAAAAAAAAGTTGTATACTCTCTTTCCCTAGAAAGAACGTAATTTAGCATTTCAAATATTGTCCCCAAAAGAATATAACTGTAGAGTTAAAAGATCATCTTTTTCACCGAGACCCACCTATTAAAAATACCTAAAAACTACCGTACTCTATCTATCCATGAGAAAAATATTCTAGAAAGCAACCATTTCTATAAAGATAGAGGAGGGCCAAATGTGTAATTTTACACCTATACTGATGTGAGGGCCTGTTTAGATCCCTTCCAGTTTGGAAAATGGACACTGTAGCACTTTCGTTTGTATTTGGCAAAAAATTGTTCAATTATGGACTATTTAGGCTTAAAAGATTCGTCTCGCCAATTACGGGTAAACTATGCAATTAGTTATTTTTTTTATCTACATTTAATACTTCATACTTATGCCGCAAAATTCAATGTGACGGAGAATCTTGAGAAATTTTGAATTTTTTGTGGGATCTAAACAGGGCCTGAGCTCGAAAAGCAAGTGTCTGTTTAGTTCTCAAAATTTTACAAAATTTTTTCAAGATTCCTCGTCACATCGAATCTTTGGACACATGCATGAAACATTAAATATAAATAAGAAATAAAACTAATTACACAGTTTAGACGAAAATTCACTAGACGAATTTTTTAAATCTAATTAGACTATAATTAGATATTAATTACCAAATAACAACGAAAGTGCTATAATACCATTTAAAAAAAATTCGCCAACTAAAGGAGCCCCTAGATTTACGTTGTTTCGGAGACGAAGGTAGTACGTAATGGAAGAATGTGAACGGCGGTGGTCGGTCGGAACAGCGGTCAACAAACGGCCAAGCAAGTGATCTGACACTGCAATTGCAATGATCTCATCCCAGTCGAGTCAAAAGCCGCGCCTGCGCTGCGCCGAACTCAACAAATGGTGTCAGAATTATATATAGATTGAGCAAAGATCAATGTGAGATCACACGGCGAAAAAACAAATCAGCTCACCTATGGGCCTATGAGACTACCGTGCATTTGGATTGGTGTTGTTTTCAACTTGCCCGTACCTACCTAGAACACTACTTTGGGCGCGTTTAGTTCAAAAAAAAAATTTTTTTTGTCCATCACATCGAATTTTTAAACGTATGCATGGAGCATTAAATATAGACGAAAAAAACTAATTGCACAGTTGGGTGAGAAATCACGAGACGAAACTTTCAAACCTAATTAGTCCATAATTAGACACTAATTGTCAAATACAAACGAAAATGCTACCGTAGCCGAACCCAAAAATTTTCACAGAGTAAACGTGCCCTTTATCCGAAACTGGTATGGAGTAGCATTCTGCGACTCTGCAGTGATCCTGCTCCTATGCTTTCTCTCCGAGCGGCAAAAACAAGTGTGTAGTTTAATTAGTCAAACTGTTTAGGGGCCTTTTGAAACGCAGGAGCTTCACTGGAATTTCATAAGAATTTCGCAGAATTCAGTTTATTTTTCGTAGGAAAAACGTAGGAACGGAAAAAAATCTCATGTTCCAAAGGAGGCCTTAGAGTTTGACCAAATTTATATAGAACAAATGTTAACACCAATGGCTCTAACTTGTTATATATGAATATTTATTTCATAATGAATGAAATATACTTATTTAATATCCTAAATATTTATAGTTATTCATATAAATCTAGTTAAATTTAAAATAGTTTAACTTAGTACTAGACTAGAGCTGTATCTTCCTTTTTTTGAACGGAGGTATAGTATAGAAAAGGCATGCATCACTACTTTAGTACTACATTACTTTTTTACTTTTTTCTGTGCGGACAACCGTTGCATCGATGTCTTTGTTTTTCAGGCTTAGTCTGCTTGTTTGGGGTCATGGCTGAGGCCCTGCTTTTTCCTATTGGTCTTGCTGTTCTGTGAGTTTAGTGGTAATCCTTGGATTACCGTTAGCTCCTTTATTGAAACTTCTACTTTTTTTAATGAAATGCGTGT